GAACCTTAGATCAAGAGGCTGAGGGGATCAGAATTCCTATCGTCGACAGGAACTCTGCAAATACGTGGAATATGGACACATTTTTATTCGTTGTTTTTTACAAGTGTAATAAAAGTTACAAATCTAACTGATGTTGAGCTATCTGCGGAAAACATATATCTTATTAACTAAGCGGGAGGGCCGTACTGGGAGAACATCGGCCCGAGGTCTTGACAGTACGGACCTCGCTGCGCTTGGTTAGTACAAAAACGACCGAGGGCCGATATTCTTCCAGTACAGTCCCGAGCAAGCTTGGTTAATAAGAGATTTATTATACGACTAAAGCTTAAAGGGACACAGGTGCGGTATCATCCGGGACCTTTCGGGACAATGCCCGGTCCAATACTGAGAGAATATTGACTGGTAATAGAGCATTTTGATTGGTTGATTTTAGTTATTGGCCCTCTGACTGCCCAAGTCTTGTAGTAAATTTCCTTATTATACACTTTTGTAATTAGTTCAAAAGTATCATGACAAAAGCCCTTTAATCTTTCATCTGGAATAAGCTGCACAGATAGCTGCCAAGTTGGCGCACAAACAAAAAAAAAATTCAGTGTACGCTCGTCTCAATCTGGGCTAACATAATAAGTGCACTGTTCGATTGGTTTTTCCGCTACGATGCCTATATTGCCTGCATTCGGCTCATTTACAACCTTAAGAATGACCCCCTCGCACCACTTAAACTTGTTTAACTTTTGAAAATTGGGAAAAGAAGCGTTGAGTAGCGCTTCCAAAGTGTATTGAAAATCCTGTTACATTTTCTTTAATTTTCCTCTGAATGGAAGAGAAGATAAAAGCCACGAGCAACCCTTCTAAAGCTATACTTTATTCTTTTTCACCCTGTACATCTCCATTGCTTCTTTCTCTTCAGCGTAACATCGCTCGTTTATCGTTTTACCTTGTAAAAAAAGTCTTGAAGTAAAAATTTGCCACGAGTGTAATAAGTTTCAGGTTTTGATGGACATTATAAGGGACTAGAAATTCGATTGATTACGCACTTACAAAAGCATTGATTAAATGTTTTTTCAGGGGAAATGATGCCTAACTAAAGTGCATTTCACAAAAGTTTAGATAAGAAACCTTGGGAATGGTGACGGGGGGTTCTTAACGATAACAAAACTCCCACTTCGAGCATTTATGCAATTTATTTACCCAAGAGAGAAACGCCCCTGGTATCATTACTAAGTAAAGTTACAAAGTAAAGTAATGCAAGCTTTTATTATTTAAGTTACTGTCTCTAACTGAAGTCAATGGAAGAAGTCTTGGAGTGATATCTTTTAGGAAAAATCCAATCACCTAAAAGTATGACCTAACACAATAAAACTATTTAACTACGGGTCACTATTATAAGCCGGCCAGATCCTTTTTTTTCTTTTTTACAAAGGACATTTCGCCACCAATCAGAACTTTAAACCAGATCGATCATTTCTCGGGCGGTACTGTATGTTCTGGTAAAATTTTTGTAATTGTGTTGTGGGGGTTTTACCACTCGCTTAGCGAATTAACAAGAGGTACTGAGACTCTGTAATTTTCTTCTTTATTCTCCTATACTGCTGCTTCTACTACAGCTAATTTTCTCTCTCTTTCCCCACTGCTTATTTCTACTACTTTCAGCAAGGAGTGCTCCAATATTAAATAGAAAAATCACAGACATGTTTGGGTTAGCTGACCGTGGGAATTTCCAAAACAGGATGTTCAGTGTGGGTAAAACTCAAGGTCAGTTTCACCAACCCAAACATGACCACCTAGCGAACTAGTTATCCTCAACCATAACAAGGGATTAAAATGTCTAGTGGTGAACTTTAATTCCCCTCAGCGGGTAGTAACGATGTTGTCATTCTCCTTTCACGCGATAGGTTTTAATTAAACGCAATATCGAATTAAGAAAGATCTTGGCCATCTCCACCTGCATTAACGTTCAGTATCTTCATTCCTTATTAACAAGCACAACAACAACAATCATTACTTCTACTCTTGTATTTGTCAAGTTAAAAAACAATATTGAGAATAAAAAGAGTATTGGCTATCTGGAATAACCATAGGGACTAGCAGAGCCAGGTACTCAGTAGACAACAACATTGAATGAAAATGAATTACTGATCAGCAACAACATTATAGCATCAAATACATATTATACAAAATAATTTATAT